GAACCCCCGTGGGGCCACCCCCATGGTGTCCCCCAAGCCTGGAACCCCCGTGGGGCCACCCCCATGGTGTCCCCCAAGCCTGGAACCCCCGTGGGTCCCCCATCTATATCCATCCCCGCATGCGAGACCCCCGCCCGTGCACTCGCCCCACACACACCCCAGCGGGACCCCACCCACAGCCCTTCCATGAGGAACCCCACGGTGTGTGCCACAGACCCYGCCGTGCTCCCGCAGTGACACGTACCCGGTCCCCGCAGTGTCACCCGCAGGTCCCCGCTGCCCGCACCCCGCGTCAGGACCTTGAAGTCAGCCACGTCCTGCACTCGGACTCCCCGCGGCTGCAGCCCCCGGCCCGTGGCCCGCACCGCCGAGGGGGTGCAGGCTGTGAACRCCCATTAGCACCCACCAGCACCCACTGGGCACTGGGGGCACCCTGGGGAACCCCCGGGGACAGGAAAAGGTGGGGTGTCCCCAGGGCCGGGAGTGGCTCATGGGGACATCTTGGGGATTCCCTGGGGACAAGAGACTGCTGTGGGGAGTGCCAAGGAACCCCTGGAGACATCCWAGGACTGATAGATGCCACAGGGACACTCTGGGGACAGGGATGCCACTGGGACACCCTGGGGASTTTGAGGGACCATGGGTGAACACTTAGTAGTGTTGTGGACAACCACGGTCACCACTGGGTGCCTTGGGGCCACTGCAGTCCCTGCTGGGTGACATGGGGCCACTGCTGGGTGTCATTAACTGTTGTTAATGGTCACAGATGTTGTGGAGCCAGGAGGGAGCTTTACCTTCAGCCACATGGACGGTGAAGGGGCTCCTGGGGACCTGGGCGCCAGCGTAGGTGACACAGATGGTGTGCGGCCCTTCGAGGACGGGCCGGTAGGTGCAGCGGAACACGTTGTCCCCTTTGTCCTCCAGCATCACTTCCACTGTGTCCCGCCGGCCCTGGGGGTCTGTGATCACCACCCCCACATCGCCCGAGCCAGCCCCTGTCACCACCAGGACACGGGCTCAGTGCCATGGCCGGGCCACCATGAGGACATGTCCCCAGAGTCACCCAGCCATGCCATGCCCTGTCACCCTGACAACATGACCCCACAGCCCCAGACCATCCTATGTGCATGACACAGACTTGGTGCCACTTGCCATGTCATGCCATGCCACCATGAGAGCACCCCATGGCCATGTCACCATGAAGGCTCGGCCCCAGAGCCACCTGACCGTGCCATGGCCCTGCAATGAGAAGGACATGTCCCCAAGCCACCATGAGCTCATGCCATGGTCAAGCCATGGCCCTGCCAGTCCAAGGCCACATCCCCAGAGCCRCCAGGCCACCCCATGTCATCATGAGGACACGACCTCAGTGCCACCAGGTCATGTCACAGTCACACCACTGGAAGGACGTGTCCTCAAAGTCTCTGGGTCATGCCATAGCCATGCCACCATGAAGGSACATCCCCAGTCACCGGGCCATGCCCTGGCAGCACCGTCACAGGTCCCCAGAGACCCCCAGCCCCYGTCCCTCACCTGCAGTGTAGATGTCGAAGTAGGTGGGCTTGTTGGCCACGTTGCCCACAGGCTCCAGGCCGGGGCCACGTGCTGTCACCCTGCTGGCATCGCCCAGGGCCATGCCCACGGTCACCCCAAAGGGGCTCCCGTCAATGTTCTGCCCCGCGAACAGCACGGTCACCTGGTGGGCACAGCGGTGCAAAGGGGGTCAGGGGACCAGGACCCCCATGGCCACACCACACCTCAGGGACAACCCCCCAAGGACCCCCATGGAGGCAGTACATGGATATTCCGGGGACCCCCCTAGGATGACAACGTGAAGAGGATCCCCCAGCAGTGACTGACCCCCCGGGACCCCCTATTGTCCCTCCCAGGGACTCYAATGTACAGGACCCCCAGGAATCCCAAAAGAACCCTTCGGGGTCCCCCCATTACAACACCTTCCCCCATGGATTTCAGTGTGGCACCCCAGGGACCCTATGGGGCACCCCAGGGCCACCCCACTGTTCCCCCTTGTGGGGGAACCACCACTCTGAGATGTGGGGACTGTCACGGGGTGGGGGTGTCACACACAGGGCTGGTGTTGTGGGTCGCAGGGAGTGTTGCAGGGAGGGCAGGGGGTGTCACAGAAGGGTGGCCTTGGGAGAGTCACCAAGGGGCTCACCTTGTGCAGCCCCCCGACCTTGGGGACATAGGTGACGCTGTACGTTCGCTTCTTGTCGTTGTTGGGAACCACCTTGGCCTGGGGTGGAAGAGACCCCAAAATCGGGGAAAGGGGGTGAGACAGAGCTGGAGCACTGGGGGGTCTCCCAGAGAGGGAGACTGGGGGGATCCCCCAGGGGGTGCCAGGGCCCCCTGTACCTCCTCAGTGTGTCCCTCGGGGTCCTCAACGTAGACAATGACCTCACCCACGCCCGCGTCGAGGGTCTCCACSGTGAACTGGGCCGGGCGCAGCACCACATTGCCCTGTGGCTCAATGCCTGCGGGGTGGGGGGAGTCAGGGGGAACCCCAGCGCCCCACAATCTCCCAGTACCCCACAATCCCCCAGGACTTGGGACCCCCAGCTTGTCCTTGGTGGTAGCAGCAGGGTCCAGAGTGGCCTGACACCCCGAGCCCCCAGGCAGTCTCTCGYGCCGGACTCCTGAGCCCCTCCATGTCCCCCACGCCGTACCCCTCCCCAAGTGCCCCCTGTGCCAGTCCCCAAGGGCTCCTGAGCTCCCCTGCCGGGGTTCCGTGCCCCTCGTGTGTCCCACATCCCACCTGTGCCGGGTCCCCAGCCTGCCAGTGCCCCCACAAACCTCC